GGGCAAATTGTAATAAGACGGGCATTGACTTAAAAAGTAAAGACTTAACTAATGCTGTTTTTACAGGGGCAACCTTAGATAAGGCGAATTTTACGGATGCATTACTAGAAAATGCAGATTTTAACTTTTCTAGTTTAAATAACGCACGATTTGATGATGCAAGAATGAATGATTCGCGTTTAATTGCGATAAAGGGGCTAAATGCCAGTTTCAAAAATTCAGTGTTAACAAATAGTCGGTTTAGTCGTTCGTCTCTTGAAAATGCCGACTTTAGCGGCGCTAAGGTAAATAATGTTAATTTTTATGAATCTAAACTGATTGGCGCTACTTTTAATCGGGCCAATTTAGATAAAGCGAATTTTGAACGAGCACAGTTAAAAAAAGCCAACTTTGATTCGGCAACATTGAATGATGCGATTTTCATTAGTGCTCGTTTACAGCAAGCGCGATTTAATAAGGCTGAAATGAGTAAGGCAAAATTAGATAAAGCAGACTGTCGCGACACGGACTTTAGCCAAGCGAATTTAACAAAAGCGTCTCTTAAAGAGGCGCTGATTGAAGAAAGTATATTTACAGGTGCAATTTTGAAAGACACAATTTGGTCAAATTACAAACGATGTCGTGCTACATCAGTAGGGTCATGTGAATGAGCAGCTACATAATTGATGCAACACGTAAAAATTTTGAAGATGCAGTATTGCGAAATTCACATAAGGGCCCGGTTATGGTGAATTATTGGGCAGAAGGCGCAGGTCCTTGCTTGCGGCTTTGGCCGGTATTGGAAAAACTAGCCAATGATTACAATGGGCAATTTTTGCTGGTTAATGTTGATACTAAAGTCGAGAAGCAACTGGCAGATGATTGTGGGGTTAATAGTGTGCCAACAGTGAAGTTATTTGTTGGTGGTGAAGTGGTCGATCAAGTGCATGGTTATGATTCACCTGATAGCTTTAAGAAAATGCTAGACAAATATCTAGCGCGTGAGTCTGATAAGGAATTAGCCGCGGCGGTTGAAGAATATCAAAACGGTAATAAAGAAGTGGCATTTGATCAGTTAAACAAACTGGCAGGAACTGTTTTATTGACCGACGCGCGGAAAATACACGAAATATTGCTATGCGCTATGGCAAAGTTGCTAATAAGGAGGCTGGCAAGTATGAGCAAGGCTATGCTTTGTTAGAAAAAACACCATTGAAAACAGAAAGTGATAAGAAGCTGTGGTGTTAATGACCAACGCCGCTTTTTTCTTGGCCGAATGTTCAAAAGAAGGAAGAGGGAGACGGCCTGAAATAAAAGAAGGCTCGCGATAAAAGTTAAAAAATGGAGTGGTGCGGAAGATTAGATTTATTATTTTCAAATGGGGAAGCTCGATAAAATCGTGCAAAGGGGGGTGGAAATTTGCAGAAGCTTTGGACGTTCTTTTGTACATATATCGTAAAGATTAATTCATGGGGGAGAACGGAATTGGCTAGTTTGATAGGGGGTAGACGCGGGGAGATATTATAGTATGTTGGGTAAGAGTAATCCTTCATATCGATTAGTATACGTCAGAGGAACTTATTGGGGGGATCAACAATCTCATTAATTTTAGAATTATTAGCGAAGCGGTTAGGGCATAAAATGATAGCACATATGGGGAATTTTGTAGAGAAAGGGGAGGCCAGTAAATGGCGGGAGAGATGCAAACAAACTAGAAGTTTGAAGGCACACATGAATGTTATTTCAGAAGACGTGTAGGTGTTTATGGGCAGGGTAAACCTGATTTTGAAGTAATAACTATGATGATAGTAGCAAAACAGTGTCAGCATGAATTTGAAAATAAGATTGCCTGTAAACGAGCTAAGCTTACGATGGTTTGAAATATACTGGCGGAAACGTCAGAAAATCCGTGTCCATGTTTCAAGGTGGCGGTTGACGACGGTTGACAGGCAGCGATGGCAGTATCAGTGTTAGTTGGGCATGAATTTATTATTCCAAAAAGAAGAAGATGGGAAATGGCGTGTTGGACAGGAACTGAATGATGGGGCCAGAAGATGAGTTAGATAGTGATAAACGCCCGTGGTGGCGTTATAGGTTTCTTGTAGCTATGCTGAGTTGTATCAGCATGTTAAACGCTGTTAGTGGGCGAATGAATTGATTAGAATCTTATGGTCCATGGGGCTGCCCGACCCTGAGCGAACGCCTGCGTCTACGGTCAATTACTCCATGATTTCAGCAATGAAATCAAGCAAAGATCGTACCTTTTTGTAGAACCGGAAGTTTGCTGTATGCGGGTAACAGCATAGGTAGCGGGGCATGGTAAGTGCATCGGGTGTATTGGTTCAGGCCGGTTTTTTCGCAAATCTTAGCTTCTTTAAGGAACTGGCTATCAATAATGTCGGCCCTATGAAAGGTGCCAGCTACCAAGGAGATTCTGCGCTGGCGGTTCCTTAGTATAATTCCGCATATCTGAACGAAAGGTTGGCCATCACAGTTTAAATACTGAGGTGTGTCCCAGCCTGGGCATTTTGGGTGGAAATAGGGGAGCCAGTTATCTGGATTAGGTAATTGGTGAATAGATCAGGGAGGGACAGTGTATGTTGTTTTGACGTTCACTGGGATGTTATGGAGGCAATTACCATATTTTTTTTTAGGTATTCAGGGGGTCGAATGGCGCGCAGGCAATCGTAAGCCGCATGGGGATACAGATGCGCGCGATTAAGCTCGGAATCCTTCTCGTTTTCGCCAACCCTAGAGCGCTAAGTCGATACCGCTTCTCTCTACAAGATTACACCAAACGCCCGGAGGACATGTATCTCAGTTCATCTTGGGGAATTTCTGTTGGGGAAAGCTTAAGTAGCTCCAGATCAGGAAGCAATTGATCTCGCAAGGGGCTCTGGCGCCAAATTCGTAGAGCCGGCCTTGGTGGTTCCACGATTGTAAGGGTTAAGACTGATTGCTCAGCTCTCGGCGACGTCTGAGCATGATTCGATGGCGATAACTCGATAAAGGGTACCTCCGCCTGCCTGGTGAGGGTGTGAGACGTGGTGGTGCGGTGGCAGAATTGAACCCAAGATGTCGTTCGAGGAGAAGAGACTTGCTTACCTCACAACGGGCTTGGATATACCCAGTGCGGTTTGGCTGCAGCAGTAAACTGCCGTTTCAAACGCAACCGCAGTAAATGTGCTCGCCGATATAATGACAGAATATTCATATGGTTAACATTTAGAAATCTTTTTAGCATGTTTATGTCCAGACTGTAACCATATAGACTTGTTTGTAACGTAATTCGAACCATGAGCTGCACTCGAATCACCAAGTATAAACATACAAAAACTTATTTAGGAGAATTATTATGATGAAAAATACTGCTAATACCTACGGGGTAGTCGCTAAGAGTTTCCACTGGCTGCTATTTTTGATGCTTACCTTCTCAATAGTAGCAGGCAACATCATGGCTTCTATGCCCAAAGGGGCTGAGAAACTGCAGGCTGCCGGTATGCATAAATCATTTGGTGCGGTTATATTGACGCTGATTATGCTTCGCCTCGTGTGGAAGTTAATTAATGAGACACCGCGACTTCCGGATGAAACAACAAGCGCTGAGGCTTTTATAGCTAAAGCGATGCACTGGGGGCTTTATGCCTTGATGTTTGCACAGCCGCTGTCTGGAATCATGATGAGCCAGTCTGCTGGTATCCCAGTGAGCTTCTTTGGTCTCTTCGAATTCCCTGTTTTTCTGGATAAGAATCCAGAGCTAGCGAAAACATTTCTCAGCATTCATGGCACCGTTTGGATATTACTTGTAATTGCCGTGTTTGGTCACGCAGGCGCTGCAATGCATCACCATTTCATTAAGAAAGACAACGTGTTGAAGCAAATGACTACTGGTGCGTGATCATCAAAATT